ATGGGGTGGCAGCACTCTTAAAGCCTTCTAAATCCTATCTGCACTTGTCATGGCAACATATTATTCTGTCCACATCCTCATCACAGCTTAAGGTTGTGTCTATGTGGTCTTTCTTGGATGTGTTTAGTTCTGTCTCTCTCCATTGGTAATGGTAAAAAAAGGCCACATTATAGCCTTCAAACCTTACCTGGGATTCCAGGCTCAGTGATGAGTCCAGGAGGACCCCCAAGCTGTGAACCTGTGCCTTCAAGGGGAGTGTAACCCCATCCAGCACAGGCTGTGACCCTATGCCCTGTTTGGCCTTGCGACTGATCAGAAGATTGTTATTTCAATTAGGGTCACTAATGTCCATAGTTCTGTATGTGATGTCTTAGCATTAGCTATGCTGTCCTTGCCATTGGAGCTAAAAGATCCAAGAGATCCTCCACCAACATCATCAGCATAGTCTCTTGCTTCATAGAAGGACTCCATCCCACCACCATGAAAAGGTAGTGCCATCTAGTATATAACTTTTAGAAACTCACCCTTGCCATGCAAAAGTTAGAATGAAAAAACAAAAAGACAGCATCCCATCATGAAATATACTACACAGTCAAGTCAAAAAAATGAAATTTCCATATGTGCCTTGATTACTAAGAGTGTTTTTTATTTCTTTCAAGACTTTAAAAATATACTTCAAAATGTACTTATTAATCAGTATAGCTTCACATCTGCAATAATCTTATGTCGAGGTGGGCGGGAATACAAGCCTCTTTGCATAAAAAGATCTTTTAGGTGGAAAATAGATTTTTGAGAATTTTTCTTTCTGTTAATAGAAAACAAGATTGTGTTAACTGATGGGAATCAGAGCTGTTAGGCTCAAATATAACCCTCATTTGGGGGTGATTCCACAAAAATATAGCAGAGTGCCAGAAGCACAGTTCATAACCAGTAGAAGCTTACGTGAAGTGAGCAAGGATTAGTCTCCATTCAACAGGATGGGACAGGGTTGCAGGAGCCACAACTTCATAGGTTCAAAAAATATATATTTATTGAAGTCAAAAGAAATCCATTCTGGATAGGAAAGGTTCTCGGAGCTAACTAGCTTCACTGAACTATCGTCTAAAAAAAGTAAAAGAGGATAAAAATAAGAAAATATGCATACAACTACATCTTGCCTGGAGAAAGGTAAGATGCGTCCTTACTCAAAGGAAGCAAAGGAAGAGAGAGGCCAAAATGGAGAATGACCACATGGGCAAAACAGGGCAATCAAAATACCTTCAAAGAGGAACTAACCTGATCCCTCACAGATACCACATTGCTGAATATTCAAAGGGGTAGGAGATCGTGGCAAGCAGGAAGAATAAAACAAAGCCCCATAGGAATTTGGATGAGAGCAAACAAGGGGTCCTTCTGGTCAGTCGGAAGGCCAAACGGGGTATAAGGTTACAGCCTGTGCTTCAAATGTCATCATGCTGGAAGAAGCAAAGACCACCAGCATTGAAGCGATGGTCTTCTGCCATCAACTCTGCTGGACCGACCATGTTGTCCGGATGCCTGACCGCTATCTCTCAAAGCAGTTGCTCTACTCCGAACTCAAGAATGGAAAATGGAATGTTAGTGGACAGGAAAAGAGATTTAAAGATGGGCTCAAAGCCAACCTTAAAAACTCTGGCATAAACACTGAGAACTGGGAAGCCCTGGCCCTTGAGTGCTCCAGCTGGAGGTCAGCTGTGACCAGCAGTGCTGTAGAATTTGAAGAGGCACGAATGGAGGGCGAAGGAGAGAAACGTGCCAAGAGGAAGGCGCATCAAGCCAACCCTGACTGGGACCGCCTTCCACCTGGAAACCAATGTCCTCACTACGGGAGAAGATGCAGATCAAGAATAGAGCTCCACAGTCACCTCCGGACCCACCAGTACACTGATCTTGAAAGACTATCCTACTCGGACACCAGGGATCGCTTAACCCCAGGTCTCAGCAGTGGCCAGGGGAGCTTTCACACAATCAAAACTTGTGCACCAATTGCGCCCATATCTTGGGAGGTCAGACTTGGCCACGGTGGTCCATGCTCTGGTTACATCCCGAATAGACTATTGCAATGCACTCTACATGGGGTTGCCTCTGAAGACTGTTCAGAAGCTTCAGCTAGTCCAATGCTTGGCAGCCAGGTTGCTTATAGGAGCGGGATATTGAGAGCGCACAACGCCCTTGCTGCGCCAACTCCACTGGCTGCCTATTAGTTTCCGAGCACTATTTATTTATTTATCTATTTACCATATTTATATACCGTCATTCTCAGCCCGAGGGCAACTCAGGGCGGTTTACAAATGGCACAATTCGATGCCCACAATAACATAAAAACAATTTAAACATTTAGCCTAAATAACATTCAATAAAACAATATAACCGATAAAAGTATAAATCCTCAGCATCTCATAACTAAAATCATTACCCAATCGCATTGTCCAGTCATTCCGAAGATCAGAGTTTGTCTGCTACACTGCATTTGGGAAAGCTTGCTCAAAAAGCCTTTTTAAAAAAAATCAATTCAAAGTGCTGGCTTTAACCTATTAAGCCCTTAACGGTTCTGGCTCAGTTTACCTGTCCGAATGTATCTCCCTCTACAAACCACCTAGGACCTTAAGATCATCTGGGGAGGCCCTGTTCTCAGTCCTTCCACTATCGCAATCGCGTTTGATGTGAACGAGAGACAGAGCCTTTTCCGTGGTGGCCCCTCAGCTATGGAATTCCCTTCCAAACAAGATCAGATCTACTCCATTGCTCCTTACCTCCTGGAAAAAAGTGAAATCCTGGCTAAGGGATCAAGCGTTTGTGGATTAGACTGACTTGCTAGCAAAGATACTGTTTTAATGGACTATGATGGACTACTTTTTAAGATGACGGTTTTTTATATTGTTTTATTATAATATGTATATTTATAATATGTATATTTATGCTTGTTTTACTCTGTTGTTGGCACTGTGCTGTGCCAGTTGGTAGACGCCCTGAGTTCCTCTGCGGAGGTTGAGATAGGACAGGTATACAATCCCAAATAAATATAAATAAATAAAATAAATAAATTTGGGGAAGGAATACTTCACTCTAATTCTTTCTAGACTAACTGCTCATCGAGGGATGGAGACCTGTGCAGTCAGGGATGAAGCCCAACATGAATGCATTGTCTCAAAGTCTTGGGGGGGGGGGAGGTTTAAAAGATATTCACCCATAGGCCCTGATCTATATATTAACAGTTTTCAAATACCCCCACCTTTATCAAATCCCAGGTGTTTTGAAGCAAGAAAGAGTTAGAGTTGTCTCTATATTCAGCTTAATACACAAGAGAAAGAGCTTGGGGTCCCCATTCCAGGAAGCGGCGTGAGCTGTGTTGGAGCTGTTTGCAATTTATAATGTAGATTTCAAAGTATGTATGTATGTTTAAAATGCAGTAGCTATGTGCCGAGTGCATTCCTGTGTGGAAAGAGTTAACTGAACCATGGAGGGAACAGCATTCCTAGAGAGGTCATAAATCAAGTTTATAGAGCAAATGGACGCAGCATTGTGCATCGTACATTATATGTCACTCTGGAATGCAAGAGGTGTGGACTAGTGCTGATAACAGTGTTTGTGTGTTCGCAATGCTACGATCGGATGGGAAGAAGCAAGTTTTTATGATGTGCTGAGTGTTAAGTCGCTTCTAATGTATATAGCTGTAAAAATAAAGTAGTTTATAGCCTAAGGTGGCTGTGATCGATCTGATCCTGCCTTGCTGTGCTGATGCCACTGACAAGCTCCTGTCTTAGCTCCAGCTTCTCATGCAGGACATGAGAGAAGCCTCCCACAGGGTGGTAAAACATCCAGGCGTCCCTGGGCAACGTCTTTCATTTTATGAGAGCCTGGAAATGTTACCTTTTGGGCATATGCATCTTCTGCATTCTCTAGGGACCAAAATCTCCAGGATAAAATATTTCCCCCAACAGAAGAACGGCCTAGGCTTTGCAAAGGAATTCCTGTAGCATCAGCTTGCTTCTCAGTACTCTTTTCCGTCTGTCACTGTCAAATTAAGCAGCTCTAGCTAACCTAGAGCAAAACAGATGGAACACAGGGATGGAGAAGAAAAATCAATTGGCTTCAACCTATTTGAGCGATATGTATGGATGAGGCGGCCTGATCTACAGCAATATTTGCTTTATCGGCAGGTGCACAACACATTCTTACAGCAAAGAACAATTTTTTAAAGGATGACTTCTCCAATTAGCATATAAACACCCTGTAACTTATAGCAGAGAATAGGAAAAACGCCTTTAGAAGAATACAACTCCAAGAATGAAAATACTAAAAAAAGTAGTTTTCCAAAATTCTTATTTTTTCAATGCTGGATCGAAACCTCTGCTTTTTCTCCCCCCGTCCTGCATTTTGGGAGGTTGGAATGACAATTTGGTATTAGTGCAATTTTTTGTTGATATTGGATGAGTTTTAATGCTTTTTGCTATTAGGCACCCTTGTTTGTCCTTCTTTGAGAAAGGGACAAACCCCCCTCTTTTTAAGCTACAAAA